TCTAATCGTTCACGAACGATCGATGGAGATAATACCTATGTGTTATTTCGCCGTGACTATCATCTGAACTAGATTTAAGTACACGGTTACGACTCCTGGGAGGAATATTTTTAAAAGCTCCCAACCAATGAGCAAGATGTATGTTTATTTTTTATTTATAAAACATTCGTTTATTTCATAATTTTCATATCATATTCAGTTCTTAATACTTATAGTCGATTATTGCAATAGCCAATAAATAAATCATAAAATCTAGTGCATTTTATTCTAGTATATCTCATATTACCAAACGGTCATAAACACCTAACATTTTTTAACACACATGCTACACCTCTAAACTTAACAAATGTATTATGATTTACGTTTTTATCATATTATGTAGATTTAAATACATGTTAACATCTTATATACTTCAGACACTTGAAATAATCTTGATCTATATTTCTATGTATAATGTATTTTTATTGTGTGTGATTTAATTTTTATGTGCCTAGAGCTTACCATTAAATAATTATAAAATCGTGGGAGGCCCGAGCCTATTACTCAGTCCCACCACCCAACTCCTTAATCCAACCCTACAGCACATACATCATAACTGTATTTTTATTTTTTATTATTATGTTATAAATTATAATATGAAAGCTTTAGTTTTTTTAAGACACTATATCATAATAATATTATATAATATATATTAATATACGCACATTGTGTTGTATACTGGCTCAGCTAGGATAGTCTTCGTCTACCTATTATTTTGTTTAGAGAAAATACGTTACAATGGTAAACAATCTTTTTCATATACCTTCTTATTGTTTGTCGTCAGCTGCGGTTGGTAATAATTATTATATCATTATATTGTTGTACTATACACTTTGTATTTTCGAAACGACGGGGGGAAAACGATGACGACGAAGGATTAAAGGATTAAGGCGTATAATAAATAGTAATAATATAATATATAATTATTTATTATTATTACTATTATTATTATTGTAACAGCTCGGTAAAGATAATTTTTTTAGTCCATGCTCATACGGTACCTAGGATACCAATCGCGCATACCGTTAGGAAGCGTCTATCGATCTTTAAATAAATGAATTTTATAATTGTATAAGTATATTAAAGAAACAAACGCGATAAACAAATAGTTCATATTTGTACGAAATACTGTTTGCGATATAGCGGCTACATCAGATATTACTTAAAGCATTATTATAGCCTGACTATGTATACAACCCTTATGACCTTATTTTCTATTAACGATTTTAGTGTATGATACACAAGCAAGACTATTAAAACACGATTATAAAGTAATATAATCAACAATTTCAGTAATTTCACCTATATAACAGTCTATTTATAAGTTATTATTTATTATTATTATCATACTTCATCACTATTCGTATATTAAATATATTTTAAAATGTTTTTACACAAACAAAAGAATCACTCGTTTTCAACTTCATCAGTAGTAACTTAATTGAAAGGGAAACGCGTACAATAAATTCAATATTTTAAAAATATATACCATGAACCTTTAAAGAAATCCAGCGTAATTGTTAGACTACAAAAGTAAACTTATACCGTCTCTAGTGTTTTTTGTTATTAGGTGAATATCGAAAGGTACGTTTTTATTTCGTTAATTGTTCCTTTACAATACTTATATTAATTTCGTTGCAATTGTTATAATATTGACCGTTTATTTTTGTTTCGATATAACAATGTTCAGCTAATTTTCCAACGTGCTGGTGGTTTATAAATAAAAAATATAAAAGCTGTATCAAACAAATTGGTTTGTAGCACCATACAACTACATAATAATAATAAAGTATTTTATTGTGTATACATAAGAATAACAAACAAAATATACTTGTTCAACCGTAAAAAATTCACTTACATGTTCCAACAAATACCTACTATATGTGTACATATGCTCTCATTCATCGCATGTGCAAAATTTAAGACTCCAAAAATCACCACGTATAAAAAATATTTTATAGTGGCTTCGGCTGCACATCGTAATATCATAATATTCATAATCATAGATATAAATACACCGCGATATAGACGAGTTTATACAGTGTATCATAAATATAATATTGAACATTATATACTAGAGGAAAACTGTTTTTAATTCGCGGAATGCAAACCGAATCCCATCTGTCTTTAAGTGTATACAACGGTATATTAAACCAAGAATAGGTTTTTACGGCTGGCCAATCTTGATGCAGTTTCACCGCGAACAACACTAACACTAATCGTACGATTGTACAATTATTGGTTTTCTGCCGATGTTTTATGCACGTAATTTTACCGGAACATACCACTTTTATAGTAGGTAATTATCTCAATGCAGTCATACTGTACTACTATGTATTATGATCGATGTGTAACACGTGTACATGACTAACAGGCATTAGATTTAAAATTAATTATTAAAAATAATTCGAATATGATTTATATGTAAAAGGTAAAACGTATTATAATTTAAAAATTGGTGCCCAATATGAGAGGGACATGACAGAGCATTATTGCCACCTCTGAAAAAAATAATATTAACTAATAATTCAATAAATATTACAATGTTATTATTACTCAAAGATTTAGACATCGTAAAATGAAGAAATGTACAATTCTTAATTACTGACACCGCCGAATAATATATTTTATTTTATTATTTTCTATTTTTTTTTTTCTATTCTCATAAAAATGTATTTTAGTTAACTATAATTATACAAAAATACAAACATTAATTTTATAAATAAAAACATTTAATTTTTTTTATGTTTGCCCATGATAAAAATCTAAATTAGCGTAGATAATTAAAATTATACATTAATATTTAAGATTTACTCTTACGTAAGTATAACCGTTAGTTAAACTTATAGTATTTTCGATAAAATACAATACGATTGTGCAAAAAACAGTGAAAATTGAGAGTATGGCTGACTAACGTTGGTATTAAAAGGAATAATTTAGTAATTAACTTTATTTAAATTACTCTTGTTGCTTAAAAACTTTTTTTAATAAACCTAATATAAATACGAAAAAATCTCCATATTTAAACTAAATTTCATTAGTGATATAGTTGTCAACATTTTTCAATCCATTGCCATTCAAATGTAATCGTTTGACCTTCAAAAGGCGTTCCTATACTAATATATCATTAATTATTAATTGATATGGTTGGTTTTTGTAAATAAGTATTTAGGTATAATAGTAAACAAATAACAAAAATAATATAGTATATTATGATATCCGTAGATGAATCTTAAATCCAAATTACCATAACATGAATATTTATTATATTACTAACAATAACAGACCTACTCAATAATTTAAGGTTTGATTTTTTTTCGATCAATTCACGTACAATGTTTTCCAAGAAATAGGATCACTAGATAACATAGAATTGTACTTATAAAATGTAAAAATTGTTAATTATTTATGTATAATTAATACCTATGTAATGAGGTACAATAGGTACATAATGCATTATATTATATAAATATAATACTATTTATACTTAAATAATTGTCACATTTGTGTGTTATCTTCAAAAAACTAAGCCGTATATATTTCTTTTTGTCTTGTTTGAGAAACTATATATAATGCAGACACAATAATATAATAAAAATATAATAATCACGTTTTAATAGAATATTATTATAAAATATATCAACTGCAAGTTTTAAAACGAATAAATACGTATGACTTATTATGCATATAATATTAAAACAATAACATTGTATTACTTTACCAGTTCTTAATTCGACAAGTATGACAAAAATATATTACATTTGTGATACTTTATTATTATTATTTATTTATTAGAATTAAAATGTAACAGTATTTATAAAAGTACCTTATCGACCACGATTAATTCTACTCCAGGAACGTCCGAGCAGAACTCGTCGTTGTCATACATTATCGTAATATAATGTTATGTTTTAATATTTTGTCACTTATTACTTATTAGTATAATACTGTCAATTTATAGTGTGCAGAAACGCAGAGCGCCGTCAACGGGTGGCTTATATTTAACATCATGACCGATAAAGACTGTGCAAGAAGCAAGGAGGGGAACTGGTCGTAATTTGATGAGCCTCATTACGATAATATTATATATGATATATATATATATATATTATAATATCATTGCCGTCCAATATACCCATATATTTATGGACTTGTGTACACATTGAACAGAACAAATACGGTTCTCCTCTCCGTTGCCGGATAGACAAGTCATTCGGCTGGATCTCTTTTGCACGGACTTTTTTTTTCCGTTAAGTCAAGATAACCCTAGTTCGGTGTTGATGACGATATATTTGCTCGAAGTCGTATAATTGCATCACCGTGTCCTAAGATGGTTTTTTTACAATAATATTAGACAATACATAATATAATGTTATAAAATATCACACAAGATATTATACGACACGGGATTTTCGGATAATAGTGACACAGCCGACTCACGTGAAACCTCCCCTCGTGCCGCCCATCTACCGCCACTGGCGTATGCGATTAAGACGAGACAAATCCGCGCAAATCCGCGCCAATTCTATCGGCTGCAAGTACGCCACTCTGGCGAGGACGGGAGCCGGTGATTTACGTAAAAACGTCGCGAATTATGACGATAAAAGTAATACATTGTATTGCAATCGCATAATACCCGCCTACGAGGAACAATAAAAATCTTGACGATCAGACCACGTGCAAGCGCTGTGGACGAACAACTCGTCCACTCGTCCACTCGACCACTCGACCGCCGCCATCCTCCCCGTCGCCGCGCGACTTCCCGCAAACCCCCTCCCTGCTGGAAACGTGAGACTCCTCTCGGCCACTCGACTCGGTCGCCGCAACACCAACAACCCCGCAGCGGCGGGTCGGTGGTGGCGCTGCAGCGTTCCGTTTATTGTGGTGGAAAGGGAAACGTATCGCGCGCCGCCGCGGCTTATATATATACGGCCGGCCGGCGAGCACCGCGTTCAGTTTACAGTACGCCCGCCGCCGGTTCAAATATCCGTCCCGTCGTCCCGCGTACACCCACTCGATCAACCGTCACCGCAATTACACCACCAAACAGCAGTAGTCGTTTGTAGGTGTGAATTGTATTTTTCCGATTTCGATAATCATCGACGTTCGACCGGACGTACGTGATATCGTTCGTTTTTTCCCTGCAGTGCAATCGTCAACCACCGATTTTCAAGTCTTCCGTACTACCTATAATAAAATCATATTATCTGATTATCGCACCACCGGTCGTTGAAACAGTGTGTACGGTCTCTCCGTGCGACAAGTAATACATTCCAATTCCGTTACACGGGAACAATATATGCACAGAAGATGTGAGTATAATATTGTATTGTAATCGACTTTAATTGTACTTATTATTACCATTGCTTATCGTCAAACTTCGCGATAGCAAAATAGAACTTGTATAGAACGATGATGATTGGTCTGGGGGTGACTTTCGACTTGCGGCGTGTATTTTTAGCGTGGTGTGCTTCAACGCGCGCGTTGCGGCGAGGACAATTATAACATATTTTCGACATATTTTTCTACGGACCATCAAAACCTTCTTTTTTTTTTTTTATGCTGTGCACTCGTATAATATTGTAATCATGTCGTCGTCGCAGCCGCAGCCGCCGTCTCGCAAAGTCTATTTTTAAACAACTGTTGCGTAATCCTTGAACGCACGATACGAAACGCTATCGAAAATCCGTACATCGAAGAGAGCGCTCCGGGAGAGTATAACCAAACTTTTCTTATACAAACGATATCCGTTTAATTCCCAGTATTTCCCCGGGTGTGTATTATCTCTATATTATAATATCAATATATAAATTATAATATATGCCTATTAAGTACTTATACGAGTGTCTTCCAATAATTATTATTATTGTGCGTTAACAAAACTCATTAACGTTGTTTAGCCACGAATCATGATTTTTATTTTTACTCTGGTGATAACGATAATGAAATATTGGAATCTCGCATTAATACCGTTCTACTTTCATGTAGAAGATTAAATGTGTGATAACGCAATCCCGTCTGAAAATGAATAATACTTTATTGTCATCCAGCTAAATTCCCGCCATTCGCTAACGGGGGGGGAAATAAGATGAATGGGTTCTTTTTTTGAAATTTAGGGAGTGAGGTCGGTATGTTCGGTATATATTATCGAACCCTAACTTCCAAGGTCAGACCACCCCCTACGGACATTAACAAAAGGACGTGTTGAAACACGTCCTTTTTACTAAGAAACAAGGAACAATAGAAGTACTATTATTTTTTTGAAATTTCGTTTCGTGTAAGCCGCATCGAACAGCATGTATGCTGTTACTATTTAATATTTAACATTAAATTCGTTGGCCGGGAGCGTATGTAGGTCGGATCCCATATGAAAATAACCCAGGATGATTCATCAGATCAAGATGTTCGACGAGACCGAAAACACGGTTAATCTGGAATTTCACCGATCAAAGTTCACATATGGTATATTATTATATCTGTGTACTTAGGTTTTTTACGTCACTTATTTTCAAACAAAACCGTCGTTACTAAAGCTCGTACCGGTAATATTACGCAAATAACGAAATTACCATACAGCTCTTCAAATTTGACGTAATATCACATTTTTAACATTTATTCCGACCATTGTGTACTCGTTATTGACACAATTACAACACTATTTCAAATACGATTAGAGTTTGGACTGATCATCTTTTTAAATACTTATATATTTTACTGTGACGATAGGCGTGATTCAAAACACACCTAGACTTGCATATTTATTTATTTTAATTGTCAATTGGACATAAAAACCAAAATGTATTCAGTAAGCAAACCTTACCGAATCAACCTCATATTATTAGTACCATGTATAATAATATAATAAGAAGATAACAATATAAATAATTCTCCTAAGCTCGTCCATTATAATTTACATTGTATATATTAATGTATTATATTATATTATTATAATGGTGTTCCATTGACGTTTTTATTTGCTTTCCAAAATCCATTAGAAGTTTTCCTAACCGGTTTTTCGGCTGCCGCACCGTGTCTATATATAATAACCCAATATAACCACTTACGCACACAAGCGCCCACATTCACATGCACACACATTTCGGTTGTCGATTGTGGGTCCAGCTAGTTAAAACCTGCACACTCGCGTATATCTTTAATATACAGCCGATAAACATAGTCACCAAACAAGTCACGTGAGCTGTGGCAGTACTTATAACCAACTAATACGCCTATCGGAAAATCGGGAGGTTGTTCTACAATAAAATATAACACTGTCGTCGCCATCGTCAATGCAACTATTAAATCGATATGAATTATGAAATCCATCGTTAAATTATTATTCGTGACGTTAGCAGACCAATAACAACAATTAGATTAGTCAACGCGTAAAAGAAAAAACTCGTTTTTGAATTTAATATCTTACACTTAGACCGACTTTTAACACCTTATTATAATTATAATGTATTTTACGTAATGCTAATCAAAACTTTCGCAAAAGTCGTTCAAAAATATTTTTGAAAAAAATAAATATAAAATCGAACCGCGGATGGATACAACGACTTTCCACACAAGTCGTGTCCCCGCCATGACCCCTCTCAATACCTATAGTCACTACTATGTCTGTACATCACATACATACCGCCTAGGCAAGTTTGACCTCCGCTTCGTGACGAGACGTCATTTCAGGTGAAAGTGCTTTCTGCTTACCCCCTCTAACCACCGGTGCTGCCTTTTGTTGACCACCGTAGCTGGGACACTTTTTTCACACAAATTTCAAAATTCGTGCTCAGTGCGATCGACTATGCAATACACACTTCGGGCAAAACGTCTATAGATTCTACGTTCGTGTATTCTTGCTACAGTCCTCCCCTATAAACAATCACTCAAAACGCGTGCGAAACCACTTTTGAGACAATATTAATATATATAACACTGTAAAAAATAATAATATTGTGGTCGAGTTTACGGTAGGTATATTATATAGTATACAAACTACAAACCGGTCGTGTCTTAATATTATTACATCGTACGTACTAATATGTGTGTATTACTTATTATAATAATATTCCTCCTACCGTTTATAATGTATCGCATGTTCCGTTCAAGGTCGATCGTGTTTCCAAAACAATAGTTAAGTGGGGTGATAAAAAAATTGTCTAAATTTTCGTCACGCACGATGACATGCGAGTTTATATCTGCAGTAAAATAAATTCCCGACTAACATCAACGCACTGCAGCTGTTACCTATCGTACCATACACAATGGTCATTTCGATTTCCGCTATTGCGTAGCAACACCCTCTCGTGGCCTATACTCGATTTTGATGCATACCAACGTGATAAATGTACCATAAAATTTTGTAATATTTGATAATAATTTGTATTTATTTCAATCCTATAATTTCTTAAACCATCTCTGACTGTATGCTCAGTGTACAGTATACACCAACATAATTGACAAGCCGGCGGAATGCAATATTAACTATCGATTGCAGCGAACAACTTCTAAACATAACATACTTGACGAGCAATTTTATACACGTCTGAGGAATCATTAGGTAGTAGATACCTATTATCTAGGTATAAATATGACTACATGAATTTGCTAGTAGATCTGGCGGTCAATGATAAACAAGCGTATGATGTTTACGCTGTAATATTACGACGAGACAGAAATCGAGTTTGCAGACCTACTTTTGTCATCAGAAGAAAAAAAATAAAACACTGGTAAAATAATAACTGTGAGAATTGTCTTCGATTTGTGCATTACGAGCAGAGATGGATTAAATACTCGTACTTTTAAAAATTGTATTCAAATAGTAAATACAAATTACATCAATTTATGTCGAATAATAATACATTAAATTTTATACATCAATTACATTATATAAAATGCATTTGATTTTAATAAGTAATTAGTGTATTTTTTCCATCACTATACTGCAGGATAGATGTGTATTGGTATTTATACTCGATAAAATGTACATATTTTAATTAAAATAATATCGTATCATGATACTCTAGTGTCGGTAATTGTCAACGTTTCGTTAAACTTTTAACGTTTGCTTCTGAACGAGTTTCATGCAACTGTTTCATATTTACGTATATTAATATTACCATATGTGGTTCATAAATGCGAGCAAGTACCTATAGTAAATTTGCAAGTACAGTGATTTATCATCCGAAATACACTCATGTATACTTAATTAAACTGCATAAAATATTTTATTGTTATGTAATATAGTGACATTAATATTGATTTAGGTTTTATACTTTAATAATTATTATTTAACATATTATATATAATGTCAAATGTATATGTTTTTTTTTCATTCATATACTAGCGCTTAACATACCAAACAAGTAAATCCAAATGAAAAAATAACACTAGTTTAGCTCTTTAAAAAGTGAAGTCCAGTGTTCATTCACAAAATCTGGTGTTGAAGGTGTTGCTCGAATTATTGGTGCACATGCGCTCATTAAAAAGACGACAATTAAAGACCTCTGTGATCTAACAGAACTAGCCTTCTTCTCGGCAGTAGAGACACTTATTCAGCCTTCCCCAGTCTCTGGCGGCACACAAGAAAGCCACACATCTTGTGTCCCATTGTCACCAACACGTGTCAATTTCTACGTGACCTTTACAGTGCGAGTCGTCCCTTTTATCAATGACGAAAGAGTTATATAAGAAGTAACCATTATCTGTGTGCGACAACTTAACCGTTATTTATTTATTATCCTTAAGCTATGTAATGATATGTCAGCATATTATTATTGAACAACGTTAGTTTTTTACCACTTTGTTTAACGATTAATCAAAACTCACCAATATTTTAGTTAACAATAGAAATCGGAGCTTCTGAATAAAAATTTGTTAATTATTATACGTTTGTAAGACGGGTACGGGTGCGACGTGAGTAGTTGGTATACTATATACGCGATTATATTCATAATATATTTAATATTTTGCGACATTATGTTTTAATGGTCAAAGATATTTTAATAAATTTTTATAACTGCTGATTAAAGCGTTTAAATCGGGAGAACTCTTTGTGATTATTATATAATATATTAAACAGCGGTTTTTTTTTTTGCTTTGCAACGATTTTGAATCCTCTAATCTCTATATCCGATATTTATTTAAATCCTTACGGTTTTAAACGAAAAAATATTTGTCAAGTACCTGCGAGTACTCATACTCATTTTATAGTTTACGGATAGCGGAGGCTTACGTTGTACACTTCAATTAGCTAGTTTTATCTGATCTTAGTTACACCACGCAATCAACACAACATTGCGAATTCGTCGAAAGC